GAAAATACGAATGATTATGATAATAATGAAAGAGGTTATTTTTTTATTACTATATGAGTCATTCTTCCATTTGTGTTGTAATAAATCTTTTTTAGATTTTACTTTGTTTTTCCTCAAAATTTAGAATGCACATTTCAAAAAAAATTTTAAAATTAATTAAAATTCATAGACACTTTGGAGGTTGAAATAGATGTAATTTTATTTTATTAATTCTGAATATATTTCAAATACGCATTTTACAAAAAATAACAATTTTAATTGAATTAATATTGAAAATTTAATTTTTCTTAAAGAACATCCCAATTGATAGGTCGTATCGACAATTAGTGATGATTTGATTAAAATCAAAGATAACATGTATTGACATATTTAGAAGTTTATTTTTTTAATTAAATTTTTAGGCCAATTAAATCATTTTTTAAAAATTGTATTTTACTATCATAAAGTTTATAATTTAGTTAATTTAATTGAATTTTATGATGCTAAAGAAACATTTTTTTTTTGAATTACAGAAACTGAAGGAGAGTCAACAGAGACAGATAGCGATACCGACGACGATTATAATTCAGAAACAGATGAAAGAATTGATTATGAGGATAACGATTTATTGATTTTAGATGATGCTGAACCAGAGATGAAAGAAATACAAGAATGGGCTATCGAAACACAAATCACTCATAGTCATTTAGACACATTATTAAAAATATTGAGGCGACGGTTGCTTCCAAATCTACCAAAATCGTCCAAGACATTTCTTGGAACTTCAAGTTCAAAATATAATATCGTTCAAATGGAAGATGCCGATGGATCGATGGGTGAATTTGTATATTTTGGGATCGAAGTGCATCTAAAAGAATGTGTCAATGTAATTGCACATAAAAATAAAGTGTTGGAGTTACAAATTTCTTGTGATGGTTTGCGTTTAGTTAATTCTGGCTATCAGGAACTATGGCCTATTAGCTGTAAAATTCATTGTAATCTCGATATCTACGAACCATTTGCTGTTGCAGTTTATTTCGGTAAAACAAAACCAAAATTGGTAGAAAAATATACCGACCAATTAATTGTTGAGATAAATAACCTTTTACGGAGTGGAATCAATATAGAAGGTCAACAGTTTGATGTTAAAATCAAATGCTTCATTTGTGATACACCGGCTCGGGCATTTTTGAAAGGCACCATCGGACATAGAGGATTAAATGCTTGTGAAAGATGCGAAGTGGAAGGATTCAAAGTAGACAATACAACTGTTTATCCATCTGTTAATTCTGACGAGAGAACTGATCAATCGTTTAGAAACAGAACTCAAGCTGGTCATCACAACAAGGAAACACCTTTACTCAATATATTTCCATTTATCAATATCGTCTGCTGCTTTATTTTAGATTTTATGCACCTATGCTGTTTAGGTGTGATGAAAAGATTGCTTGAAGCGTTGATTTTAAAGGGTCGTAATAGATTAAGCCGATTGAACAGACAAGAATTATCAAGACGAATGAAATTCTTAAAATTACAAATACCTTGCGAGTTTCAAAGAAAAACTCGCTCAACAAATTGTGTTCCGAAATGGAAGGCTACGGAATTCCGTTTATTTTTACTATATTGTGGACCAATAGTTTTAAAAAAAATTCTTAGCAAACAACTTTATAAGCACTTCCTTCTGTTTCACGCCGCTTGTCGCATATTGTGCTGTGAAAAATTTTGTCACAAATACCTGAGTAAAGCAAAAGAGTACCTAAGAGCCTTCTTTGTAGCAATGGAAGGATATTATGGAATTAAGTCTCAGGTTTTAAATTCGCATCATTTAATTCATATTGCTGACGATGTAAAAAATATGGGATGCTGTATTAGTAAATTAACTGCTTTTCCTTATGAAAATTTTTTAGGAAAATTAAAAAAATATATAAAGACACCTAACAGACCGTTGGCACAGCTATGTAGAAGATTGAATGAAAAAAAGTTTGTTTCGCGCAAAAAGGCGTTAATTATTCCTCCTTTGATTGAAATTGTAAACAAAAATAAAAACCAAATAACATCTGTTAAATTCAAACAATGCACAATTACATGCCAATCTCCTAATAACACTGTGTTAATGAACGACGGCAATATTCTTGAGGTAAAAGCAATTACTAAAAATAATCAAAATCAGTTCATTATAAAAGGAAAAACTTTAAAAAAGAAAAATCCCATTTTCGATTATCCATTTGATTCGACTTACTTAAAAATGTGGCAGCTAGATTCTAAATGCACTTATAAAGAAGAAACGTATAATTTAGAAAATGTAGAATGCAAATTAGTTAAATTATGTATTAATTTTAAGGAGAAAGATCCGCTAGAACAATATGTTATGCCACTTTTACATCAATAGTATAAAAATTGTAAATTACAAATTACTACAGTTAAAGCTAACGTACGATTAAAACGTACATTAATAAAATTTCCTATTTTATCGAAAGAAATTGATGAATTGTTTAATGTCGTTTAAATGATATAAAGTGCTCTTCGAATTACATGTTCGTCTCCATTACTATTATTTTATTGAATAAACGAAATACTAAGTGGTTCATTTATTCTTTCTGTCCGTGTATAGAAAAAATCAGCCTTTTTTAATATAGTATTCGTGTTTTCACGTTTTAACTAATGAAATTCAAATTTACCTACAGAGAGTTCCGTGCTCATGGGCTATTGGGATTGGCGGTCGTGACGTCACAAAACAAAAATGGCTGACAGAAGTAGGTAACTTTTGTTGTTTGAGTACTAGAGTCCAGTGAATTTTTGATAATAAGTTTTAAAAAAGTCAAAATGCGACTCACTATGGGCGAAATTTGTGCGTTTGCACAATCGACACCCACATCTCGGAATTTTGTTGAGGGTGAAAAAGTGTTAAATGCCGGACATGTAATATTTTGTGGACGAGGAAATGATGACACCGCTGATGAAAATTCTGTTTTTTTCTTGGCATTTTGCTTACAATCATCTAATCTGACAAGTAGTCCTCATGAAATGAATGGACTAATTTCATTAGATGGAAAAATTTTGAAAGTGAAATGTTCCTGTAAAGCGGGTTTAAGTGAGAAATGTAAGCACATTGTTGCTGTTTTACTTCACCTAAGCAGGTTAGTTTTTTATTAATTTATTCGTTTGGAAAGTTTTAAATTATAATGAATAATATAATTCTGTCAAAGCAATATTTATTTTTAAAAATGTTTTCATTAAAGTTGCATTAAGAGTTACTATTTTATTGTTTTTTAGGTTATGTTTAATATATGTTTTTATTTTTATTATATTGTTAAAAAAGTGTCATATAATTTATAATTAGATTTTAATAATACTTTAACAATTGCATTTAATAGAAAAAAGTAATGTTTTTTGTTTTTTTACAGTGTTTATAGCAAATTATTATATTTCGGTTCTAGGATCGACGTAAATGATTTAGACGAAGTTTCTTCAACCGACAAGCAGTGTCTGTGGAATCAACCTCAGGCGAATTTTCTCAAGAAATATGCTCCAAGACCATTGAGTGAACACGAATGTTATGTCGAAAAATTTAAAAAACAATGTTCCATCACAATTACTGACGAGAAAAGAAAGAAAATAAATGAAATCCTTATTTTGAGGAATCCAGATTCAGCATTGTACAAACACATGTACGGATAATTTTAATGACACATTTTGTTTTTACAAAAATTACTAATTAATTGAATATGTGAAATACTAAAATGATTTTTTTATAACAATTATTAATTTAATGCGAATTGCAAAAACGATTTTTTTATATATTTATTAGATACAAATTTGATAATTGGAGTATTTCGTCTAAAAATTGATTTTTTATATTATTTACATTTATTTTTTAGAATTTTTTTTAAAACAAACACAAAATTTACAATTTTACTTTACACACTTGTAATATTACAATGGATTTATTAGGGCAGGAAGACATGAACCATTTCTCATAGAACAAAACAATAATGTGTTGGAAGTAACGGAGGATGAACAAATCCAAGCTGTATTAGAAATTGAACCTTCTGAATGTATGCTGGAGTTATTAAACACTGAACCGAAAGAACCTTCTAAAAATTGCTGCGTCAACGTATTAAATTCTTTAAGGGTTGATAATAATATAACAATTTGTTCGGAAACATTAAAAAATAGAAGAATTTGGAAAGAAAATAGAAAATACAGAATAACAGGTTCAAGATGCTACTCTCTGTACACCTATACGAACAATGCTAAAGCAAACTGGCAGAAAAAATCCGAAAATTATTTTTATCCTAAGGAATTTACAAAAACCGAAGCCATCAAGCATGGAATTGAAATGGAACCGTTTGCGAGAACTGCTTACGAAACTAATTTTAATCTTAAAGTTGTTCAGTTAGGCCTCGTTGTCTCACCTGACAATCCTTGGCTCGCTTATTCACCAGATGGAATAATTTTAAATGAAAATAATAGGCCTGAGAAATTAATTGAAATAAAGTGCCCATTTAATGGAAAAATAAAATGCATTGAAGAAGTTGTACCTTCTCTTCATTATATAGACAAAAATAATTGTCTAAAAAAGAAGAATCCTTATTACGGTCAGATTCAACTCGGAATGGCGATATTAAATGTCAAAAGAACTGATTTTATTGTATACTCATCGTTTAATAATAGTTTTTATCTTGAAGAAGTTGAATTTGATCCTGAATTTACGAAAGAAATGTTGTCAAAATTAAAAGAAAAATACTTCAACACAATGTTGCATTATATTTGTATTAAACATAACACTACTTAATAAATTGTAAATTATTCAAGCAGAATAAATATGTTTCTATTTATTTATTAATAATTGTAAATTATTCAAGCAAAATAAATAAATTTCTTTTTATTTACGATTTAATAAAAACATTAATACATATTATTTACATCAATTAAATTATTTAAAACCAATTTGTAATTTTTATGCATTTAATGCATTAATTCAGCAAAAATAAAATTTTAGTGAATTTTTTGAAACGAAATCACGAATGAAACTTATCATCTTTAAATATTGGTTTACTTAAATTTACCACAGCACACAGAATGTTCATAATTTTTTCACTTTTTGGAATAAGACACGAAGACATTTTACCGCCAAGTATTTCAAATACTTTTAATCTTTGGTTTAATCTCTCCACGTGAACCCTTGCGCTTGCAATGTCTGCATTTTTTAATGCACTATCGGCTGAAAATTGTGATTGTTTTCTAAGAAATGACGGTCTTATTAAATTTAATTTGTTGTCGATGCACAAGTCGTCGATTAAAAAACCTTTATCCACCATCACAGATGAACCTTTCGGTAAATGATCCACTAAAGAGCTTTGGCTGAAAATTGCTTTGTCAGATGCTCTGCCCCCATAAACTTTCGAAACATACGACAGAGTTCCGGCAGGAGTTACTCCTGTCATGAATTTTATCGTATATCCCCCTTTATAGTGAGAATAACAATTAATTTGGCAGCACAAGTTCTTCGGTTTCTGAATTCCTATTTCAGTGCAATCTAATATTATTGTTGTATTAGGATAATTGGCAAAGCAAAGAGGAATGTTTCTCGAAATTTCATCTTGAGATGAAAAATGAATCATCGGTTTTAAAACAATTTCCAAAATGTCCAGAGTATTATAAATAATTTCTGAGCAATTTCTTATAGTGACAGTAGGAAATAACAGTGAGAGAAACGAGTAACTAACGTTTTGTTTTAGCTTCACAAACGTCAGTAAAATTCTGTCCCGAATATTTAACACTCGAGTCGTACTTTTTAATTCTGGTGCAGCTTCGCTGAATGCATCTACTATGCTGTCAAATAATTGAAAACTTTCAATCCCTGTAGCGGTGCTTAATTGTTGATCAGTTTTCAAAAAATGATCAAAGAAGCTTGAAATTAAATCTCCACTCGTAACCTGTACCTCAGCATCAGCAAATAATTTTTCAAATGCTGTAATTTCTTCATTTAAATTCGTGTCAGTAACAGCTGACTCATCATTTATTTTCTTTTCGTTACCAGTCGCATTGTTAATTTTAGGATCAAGCAAACAATTGCAAATTTCAATGTTTTCATTTTCCTTTGAATCATTTTTTTGGCGATTTTCGAATCGAGCTTGTCTTTCCTTAATATTTTTAACTGATACTTCTGATGGATTTGATTCTATGGAAGATTTCGGTAAGTTCACAGATGGTATGACTGTTCTCTTTAAAACTTTTACTTGAGAAAAATCTAAAAAGATAATATTTACTATATATATTTACATGTAAAATAAAATTAATAAATGAAAATAAACAAATAATTTTGAAGTTCGTTATATAATTAAAATTAAAATCGTAAAAATTTAATTTTTATTTGTTTAGAAACAATACAGTACTTTATATTTATTTACTTACCAGATTTTGTAACACACGTAAAATCTTCTTTGACAAAGTGCAAAGAACAAACTCTCATGCTACGTGTCACCTTTTTACCCATTCTCAACACTCTTTCCCACAAAATTCTCTTGTCAATTAACTCGACAGTTCCAAATTTATTAACATAATTAATTTTCATTTGTCCTTTTTTCGGAAAATAGTGGAAACTGAGGTTAGGAGTTTTGACAGGTGTACTATTGCATTTATAAACACAACAGAATATTTTACTTTTTGAAAATTTTGTTGGAACTGGTTCCGCTGTTTCTTTCTCATCCATTGCGGTATAAAATGATATTTAACTTTTTTAATATAACTTAAAAATTCACTTTTTCTCTACAATAAAAAATGTCTTTGCTATATTTCCATAGTTTTCACCGGTTTGTTAACTTTTTCTACCTACTGCGTTTAACTCAACTTTCTGCCACCAGTTGGCGCATCAACATTTAGCCAATCCCAATAGTTCATTAAATACTTGAATGACTTGCAGTTACACTGCGAACATTCTAGATAAATCCAGTGACATCGTAGCATGGTTCCCTACTGAAAATCCCTGTATAAGATCTTGTACAATTTCCTGTACAGGATCAGCAACTGAACTTGTACTAGTTCTGACCAGTTCCTGTACAGGAAAATGCATACGAATTTGGAACAAGTTCATGTGTGAGATCTTGTACAAGATCTGGTGCAAGATCTTGTACAAGAAAGATACTTGTACAAGAAAATGTACATGATCTTGTAAAATTTCATGTATAAGTACTTGTACATGAACACGTTCATGTTCTTGCACATGTATAGTTGTAAAATTTTTTTTTTAAATAAAATTTGAGATTTTGATAATTTTTAACCACTAAGATTCGTAACTCATGCATGCTAAAAACTATTGCGCAGCTGTAAAGGTTAAAGTAAACTATTGCGCAGCCTTTGAAGTTTTTAATTTTTAATAAAGAAAAACATGAATTAACTTGTGCAAGAACATGGATGTGTTCATGTACAAGTACTTATACATGAAATTGTACATGAACATTTTCTTGTACAAGCATCTTTCTTGTACAAGATCTTGCACCAGATCTTGTACAAGATCTCACACATGAACTTGTTCCAAATTCGTATGCATTTTCCTGTACAGGAACTGGTCAGAACTTGTACAAGTTCAGTTGCTGATCCTGTACAGGAAATTGTACAAGATCTTGTACAGGGATTTTCAGTAGGGTTTGCATTAGTCAAAAAGAAAATTTCTCTTTTTAGAAAGAAATCAGTATATATCGACGAGAAGTATTTATCAAAACGAAGTAAATTAATTCGGTAAATATATTATTTTGTCATATAATATTTCGTAAGGATTTTCGAAATGAAAAGTGCCGTGTTCTTTTGAGGTTATGTTAATAATCTCTTTTTAAAATTATGAAAATTGTGCCGTTCATGTTTAAAAATAAACAAATTGTATAAATAATACTTTATGAAGCTAAAGCGAAACATATTATAAAAATTATAACATATTGCATAAGATTTTTGGTGAATTAAAAATTGCTATCGTGGCTCTGCACGTGTGTGCACGTGGCAGAATAATTCAACCGTGAAAACACGTGTATGGACATTTTTTACTCACGAAAAATATAAATTTATTGATATTTAATAATTGTTATTGAAAATAAATGAAGGGTAGAATGACAAAAGGGGTCAAGCGCCAATTCACTGTTTTTACAGGAAGTAAAAAAAACATTTTTAAAAATTTTCCAGGTCATTTAAAAAAAAACTGAGAAAACCGTTTCGATATATTAGTATGTTTTAATAAATAAACAACAATTTGTTGAAATAAACCTACATATTAACGATAAAATTAAAAAAAACTGTGGTTCCTTGAGGTTATATCAACTGCGCACATTTTCTTTAAACATTAATTATAAAAAAAATATACAGTTTAAAGAAAAACTGGAAATTTAGTTTCTTTCTATGGAATCGACGAAAAGAATAAAAAAAAAATTCCTTTAAAAAATTGTTTGTTTTCAAGAAAATTAAGAATTAATTGCTTGCTTTGGAATTGAGCAATACTTTCATCTTTAAATTCAATTGTTCACTTAGTATAACCATAAAAATATTTAAAAATTAATAACAAAATGATTTTAAAATTGTTTAAAATTGAAAATACATTATTATTATTATTAATTTTATTAATTAAAATATTATTAAAATAAAATTAAAATAAAATATTAAAATAAAACCTAAAAAAATAATATTTTTTTTTATTTTGATAATATTATTGACTCACCACTTTCTTTTGTTTTTCAATCAGGTTGCAATAAAGTAAATTTGAGGCTATTTTATTAATTTAATTTTTATTAAAAACTGATTTAAATACGCAATAAAAAAGGAAATCCTTCTACAGAAATGTGTAAATGAATTTTCTTGATTTTTTTATGCAAAAACCTCATTTTCGATAAATTGGCGCTTGACCCCTTTTGTCATTCTACCCTTCAAATATGTTTAGAAAGAAGTGTTTAATTTTTAAAATGTGTATGGCGGAATTTTATGTTATAATTTTCATTTTATTTCGCTTAGTGAGTTTTGAATTATGGCATCAGCTGTAAATTCAGTGTCAGAAGACCAGGAAATTTATTGTTTCCAATTAGTGGAATTTGTTGGAACTCATGGTTCAAAATCTAAAAAGAAGCGTTCTTTGGATATAATCCCTTCAAGTTGGATGTCATTTGACACTAAAGAAGGCAAACTTGTTGCAAAATTTATGCCCCCGCCTTACGATTCTGAGAACATCGAACTTTTATATTCTCTTGTGGAAACTGAAGGAATTGCACCAGAAAGTTGGCCGACATATTCAGTGAAAATTAGAGGTCATGCAAGTGAGTTACATTTTTTATTAATATTAAACTTGTATGATTTTGTTAACCTTTTGAAATACAATTGAGTAGACATCTTAATTCAAAACAAATATTATACAATTCACATAATTTATACACATTCAGTTATTTTGCAATTACTTATTTGTTATTATCTAAATGGGATTAAAATTGATCTAAATTTGATTAGAATGAAAATAAAAATAAGGATTTTTTAGAAACTTACAGTGAAGCTATAAAACGATTAAAAGTCTTAGAAAATGAGGATTATGCTTTCACGGAAAATGAGGGTCAGGAAATTCGGGCAAAAAGCATCGAAAGTAAATATCGACGAAATAAGCTAACATTAAGTCAACAAACTACTAAAGCCATGAAGGTGTCAAGTATTGAATCAGAAGATGAAAAACTCGAAGAGAGTGCTGACGAACAAACAACTAACAGTAGTTCAGACGATTCTTCCATTCTTGAGTGTAACAAGAAAGATAGTTTTAAAAAACCTGCTATTAAATCAAAAACGACAGCAGCCATTTCATTATCAAGCAAGAAAAACAGCAAGCCAATTATAAAATCATCTCAGATTTTAGGTAATCTTAATTTTCCATTAAGTTTTAAAATATATCATATAATTTCTAAAATTTTTTAATCATTCTTAGGCAAAAAAGTTTCAATTAGCAAAGCCAACTTAAATACTGATTCGAATTCAGCTCCTAAAGCGTTTGTGCAAAGTAAAGATATTAATAAAAATAATATAATAACTAAACAAGATGATCAATCTTTGGTAAAAAATAAAAAAAAATCTGAAAGTAAAAAGGGTAATAGTCGCAATGATCGTAAAAAAGGTAATTTTATTTTTTACTTTATATTTAATAAATTTAATTTCTTTTTAAGAGTTATATATTAACAAAAACTCCAAACATTTTTAGATACGGTGCTGATTATATCGACTTTAAAAGGAATGGCTGTTGATCTTCAAGAAATGAAAAGTAATCTAGAATTGATTCTTCAACATTTTCGTGCAAACGATCACTTTGTAGAACAGAATTTTATTTCGAAGTACAACTTAAAAGTCCCATTTGATACTTTAGAAAATTTCAACAACTTTGACTCACTTTTGAGTTCTGATAAAGAGGAAATGAAAAGAGATTTCGTAAGTTTTGTTTAAAAATTCAAAAAAATATTTTCTTTTAAAAAAATTAAAATTTTCTTCACCTATTTACAGATTTCTTCATTAAACGTTTTATTAGATCGTCAACTAAATTTGGTGAAAAGTTGTACAAACGTTTGTCGAAAATATTTATCAAGGGATGTGATCACTAAGTTTACAACAACACGGAAAAAAGAAGGGAAATCTTTAATAAAAGAAACGACTTTCTACAATTGCGCCATGAGTAAGTATATTGCAAATGTAAAATATCATTTAAAAGTACATGATCTAATATATTACAACAATAAAAAAGTAATTTAAAATTATTTTTCACTATCGGATTTATTAAATTACAAATTTACAGCTGTGATGACTCAAACGCATAAGGATATTGTCACTGGGAGAGCTGTTACGGAACAAGATTTTAATGGTGCAATTGCAAAAGTTTTAAATAATGCGAAAGATTGGGACGGCGAGCGACAAAAACGGGCATTACTAAAGTCAACATCGAAGAATAGAAAAGAAGAGCAGTTAAAAGATGATTCACATCATTCAAATTCATCAAACGAGTTTGATGATTCAGCTGACTACACTGATGAAAATGCCGAGTAAAGCAGACTGAAATGCAGAAGAGGATTTACGTAATTAATAAAGAACATTATTACATAACATTAAGGTATATATTAATATAGTACTTAAAAAAATATATGTTACCTGCCATATGAATGTTAGGTTTATAAAAAGTTACAAAAAAGATTTGTTTTTTTAAATCAAATTTTAAAAAACACTTTTTTAAAACGTTAAATAATATAATTCTTTAAGAGTTATAATACTTTAAGATTTTGCCCACACGGCACGGATATCCTGAGGATATCCCAGGGATATCCAAACCGCCGCAAACAAATAGATATCCCTAGGATATCCCAGGAATATTCTTAAATATCCGGTGTTATGAGGGTGTCATATAGCTTTACGGCTTTGTAAATAATCTAACCTACAAGTATTAAAAAGATATGTTAAGACTTAGAAAAGTTTATATAACATTTTTGTTATAAAATTCAAACAAGACTTTCATAAAGCTTTAAATAATATTATATTATAATTTAAGGAAGTTTTTATGATGGCTTCACGGCTTTATAAATCGTTTAACCTACAAGTATTAAAAAGAAATTTTAATTTCTAGAAAAAAATTCTATGAAAATATGTTATAAAGTTAAAAAAAATATGCTCCATGACTGTAAAATATGTTATGTAATAATTTAGAAAAAATGTTCTTATTTTATGTAAATAATATAAATCAAAGTCTGTTAAATTTCTAATCATTCTTTTTATTTCTAAACCTAAATTTTATTTTTTACTGCAGTATTAAAATATTAAAGGGCCCTAATACGGTCCCATCTAGGGTATAAATAGGATTTCCTGACCAGAAACCTTAATAGGGAACGGACGACTTGCAGCGGGACAAAAAGTATAGGGTCCGCATTAGTTTTCCTAACACGATCCCTAGTAATGATAAGGCTACCTTATCCGAACCTTACGATGGCCGGATTTAAATTTCTACACGGGTTCTTTTCATGTGGACATTTAAACATCGACATAAACTTGTATGAACCTTCCTAATCTTGCCGTGTAAGGCTCTGTCAAGTTTCAGGGAATTTTGGGTGCTGTGTGGGCTATTATCCCTCAAAATTTCAGACAAAAATCTTTTTTCATTTTAGAGTAAGACGTATAATTCCAAAACCCATTTTCCTATACTAGGTCACATGGAAGGTTCCTACATACCCTTAATAAACAGAATTTACTGTGAATTTTTCGTGTTTTCTATTTAACAAGTGTTTCACGTTTTACCTTATTTATCAATCCTCTCTAAAATTGTGGAAGTTACAGTCAACGGTAAAAACAGTAACAATTTTTTGTCCTTTAGGTGGGTGACGTTAAGAAAACCTTCCACCCATTTTCTTTCAGGAAAATCATTTGCGAACGGATTAGTTCGATTTTCTTCTTGCACTATTTTTTTACAGAATGGATTAAGCAATCCTTATTGATTAGAAACCCCATTCTACTGCAACTTAATACCTAATCCTCTAATTTTTTCAGTATAAGAGCCAAGTACGGGCAAACGACCGATTCGTCTTATAGTTTCAAGAGCTTTTCCACCAATTTTATAACGTAAAGTGGATCTAGAAACGTTATGTAATTTGATAGCTGTTGCCGTTTTTTAAATCCAATTCTGTATACTGGCAAAATATCCTTTTTGATTTTATTTTATTGACTGCAGCAGGCTTTGCACTTGATTTTTTAAAATAATCTTCTTTTACTATTTCTTGACATATTAACTATAAAAAACAAAAAATGTTATAGAATTAAAATAAATATGTGATCATATTTTTTAAATAAATTCATTTACTATAAAAAATATTACGCAAAAGCTACAAATTATCAAAATCAATTCATGTCAATTTAAACCTATAAAAGAGAGTGGACAAAAATGGTGTTTTCACATAAATATGTATCCTTCATTTATGCATACAAAAAAATTATAAAAATATTACTTTTAATTTTAAGTAATAATTATTTACTTACAAGTGATGTTGTCACGATGTTTATTAGAAATCTTTGAAAAATTAATGATTAAACGAACTTACAGTGTCTGTCAGAACAATAAACATGAAGTAGAAAAGCGAAAAACGATGCATCCTCATCGAAGCGATATGGTACGAGTTATATAAGCCTTAAGGGTGGTTCACGTTATTTAGAGACACAGCATCCAAGGCTCCTTCCACCTGTAATATCTCGAGGAGAGAGGGAAAGGAGATGGGCTGTCAAGTGAGTAAGTTCTTAGTTATTGTCATGGATAGGACTCATGATTGTAGGTAAAACGTCTTTCGTATGTGGATCGTATTTGATGTATAGATTAAAATAATCCATTGCCCAGGGATATACCACAAGCGAACAGAGAGCATAGTCAGCACTCATTCACTCCCCTTACTTAGGACATTCTGCTCGGTTAATTCATAGCAAGTGATCATATAGATATTGCATGAACGGTCCGAAGAAGCGGAATAAGTGAAAGCTCACGGCATTATTGTTCATTATAAAATTACATCACCCGCGACCATAAAGCCTCCCAACTCCTTGACGATCTCTTTGTCAGGATTGTATTGGAGCTCATCTAGAGAAACCTCTCTCGTTTCAACACCGAGCGACCTTTTTTTCAAAAATTTCATGAAGTCAGGTCTTACATGCTCCATTAGTGGGCAGTCAAAAAGAATGTGGTCGAGACTCCTCCACGCAGACCCATACCTGGAGTCCAGTGCGGCATTATATTTGAATCTGCTTAAATGATCCGCTGTCGCAATGTGAGTAGATCTAAGTCAGTTTATTACAACTATTTCCCCTCTAGGACGAGAGATAAACTTGAACCAGGGCCTGATGGTTTCGAAAGAGACCCCTTGAAAATAGGGATTGGCACTAGGTTGCTCAGAGTATGGCCACCACCTTGATAATCACGTCTTCATATCAGGTAAAATTAATTCGTTTTTGAGATCATGGATAGGAGGATAAAAAAATACGGTTGGTATAACTATTGGCCAGTTTCTCGGTCGCATCTGACCTCTCGTTGCCCACTAGTTCAGAGTGACTAGGGACCCAGAGAAAGTCGGCCCAGCTGTGTCTAGGAGGAGAACTGTTATAGTGTGGTTGTAGGTGTAGGTAGATGAGAATTTTGTATATAATTTTAGAGTTATCTTTAAATTTTAGACAGTTTGTTATTCTATTTAGGGCTGATAAAGAGTCTGGTATATAATAAGAGCTTGAGAAATTTGATGATTTTCTATGTATCTCAGAGCGCTAAAGATGGCGTATAATTCAGCAATTAGGATCGACGTACCATACTGGAGAGGAGTTCCGGTTTTCAACATAAATAGCCGCAACAGCCTTAAAACATTTTTTATTGTGAAGCATCAGTATAGATCAAGGTATGGTTAGGATAATTCTTATCAATGAATTCCCTGGAAACTTCCTCAGCGTGGGGATGATTCTTGAATTCAAAACCTGATAAAGGATCACGTCTCTCCACACAGCACCGATAATTCTCTGAAGCTTCACTGAATGTTTTTAGGTTACCTTGGGAAAGTTCCATCTCCGCGTTCAGAAAAGATTGTTTAAATCTTAAAATGTCCGCATGTAAGCAAATGTTTAAGGCGAAACTTACTGAATCTGTAAATTACATTATCGTTGACGGTTCAAAATGAAAGTAGACTTAATATATGAACCGCTTTTACAGTGGGAAGAAATATGTTTTTTAATAAATTTAATTACTGTTTTAATAATAGTCTTTACATATAAATAGAATAAAATTATATAATTATAATTAAAAGTTGAAATAAGTAAACATTTAATTATTATCATCCATTTATTGGAATGGATATATTACATATATAAAAACATTTATATAGAATATATATTTTTATTTTATTATTTTTATTTATTTTATTTTATCCCTTTTTATGTGTAAAGACTATTATTTAAACAGTAATTAAATTTATTAAAAAACATATTTCTTCCCACTGTAAAAGCGGTTCATATATTAAGTCTACTTTCATTTTGAACCTTTCCTTCCAACGAAAATGTAATTTACATATTCAGTCAAGTTTCATTTTGAACCTTCAACGAAAATGTAATTTACAGATTCAGTAAGTTCCGCCTTAAACATTTGCTTACATGCGGACATTTTAAGATTTAAACAATCTTTTCTGAACGTGGAGATGGAACTTTCCTAAGGTAACCTAAAAACATTCAGTGGAGCTTTAGGGAATTATCGGTGCTGTTTGGGTCACCGGGGTCGAAATAGCCTTCCATTCCCAATCAAAGTGCGTGGGTCTATAGGTTTTGTAAAAAGACTGAGACACGAATTGAATCCTGTTAAAGGTGTTGTGTAAGGAATATTCAGTTTCATACTCTTTGGTAGCGCGTCGTTGCAATCTTTCCTGCAGTAATTGAAGTTTTGGAAAAAGAGGATTATCTCTCCATTTGATGTTCCTCAACTTAAAGGAGTTTGATAGGATGATTCTATGAAGAGCGAGGGGAACTTCTCCTTCCTCCGCTAGAAGAATAGATATCGTAGTAGATCTCATAAGTCCCAACGCTCTTGGGAGAGAAGCAAACTGTACCCTGTCGAGGATTTTTAGATTTGTTTTGGAAGAGTCGGCGAAAAGGAGAGATCTCCAATCGAGGATAGCGCGAATAAGACCATTATGAAGTTCGATCATAATTATATAAAAAAAAACTTGCATTACCGCGTTCTACATCGCTTCATTTAGTTTAGAGTAATGTGATTTTCCTATGGGCGGGTTATTTAAAATTATCATTAGTTAAGGAATATTTTTTATTTATTTTTATTTAAAATTTTTTTAAATCTTATTTTTGGGTGGAAGTTTATATATTCGAACAAATTCTTTTCATATAATTATGATAGAACTTCACTGTAAGTTCGTTTAATCATTAATTATATTTCATCGAACTTGTTCGAAGATATTTTACCATGTACATGTTTATTAGAGTGCTAATCAACTTTTATAAACCACATTTATTTTCCAAACTTTTTAATTGGC